GGCCTCTAAAAAATGAGAAGCAAGCAATGCACATTGAGGGCTGGCTCCATGGTGCAGGGGTAACACACTGCTCAAGAGAAGGCAGAGTGGCCATTCCATGACCTAGTGGTGAAGGGAGCCAGATCCCGCATGGCTGACCATGGGATTCAGATCCTGGCCCAAGCAGCTTAGAAAACACTCTGGGTATGTGTATATGCATGTCCTAAATCCCAGGAAATTAGAGAAAAAGGAAATGGAAGAGAAGGAATTATGGGGTGAGTATACCACATTTGAGTGGTACTTTCTCTCTCTCCCTCTCCCTATATGGATCCTCTAATAATTAAAAAGAGGAGGAGAGAAGTTGGATGCCACATGGAAACCGGAGTGCCAATTCCCGGCCCAGCAGCCTGAGACATGCCTCGCACATACATCAGAGCCTAAGTCCAGCAGGCTGGAGGACTAGAAGAAGAGAATTGCAGTAAGACCAGACCCCTGTGGAGGGTCATCTCTCTCTCTCACACATACCCATGTGTGGGCACAAGCTCCATTGTGAATAAAGGAAAAGAAAAAAGGAATGCATATTGAAAACTCCTTTGCCGTCTCCTCGGAATGGAGCAACTTGCTAACCCCCAAGAACTTCCTCACTCGGGGTCTGGAGTCCCACAGTTATCTGCCAGGTCACCTCTTTGGGCTGTACAACCACAACAGTGGTGGTGGGGAAAGCGGGGAGTGGAGGAAGGAGTAGGGAGGAAACTGGTATTTTTCTGGACTTCCACCCAGCACTCTCAGGAGGACCAGGCCGGAACCACGTAATGATTCACTCAGGATACAGAAGGCAGAAGTCAAAAGCTTGTGCTCCTCCAGAGAATCCTTCCATTCAGAACTCCAGAGTCAAGCTTCCCTCCAGGCACATGAACAGGGCTGTCCTCAGCTTCCTCTGGATCGTCCCCCAGGTCTTTTCTATTCCCTCAATTAAGGATAGGAGGTTCCATCCCGCCAACAGGAAAGGAGAAACAAGCTCGTGTCCTGCTGGAGCCACGGGAGCCCACCTGCTCTCTTTCTAGCCCACCTTCCAGGAGTCTGTCATGACCAAGACCTGTGACTAAAGCCCTCGAGACCAGGGCTGGCTGATAACGTGAAATCACAGAAAATGGCACTCAGCCCAGGTTTTCAAAGACACATCACGTTACAGAAGTACAGAATAAAGGCTCAGCATCCATTTGAGATCATTTTTTTCTTCTGCAACAGGCATTGATTAAATTACACTTCAGCAAATCACTTGATTCAAGTGATTTTTGGATGGCACTGCTGTCAACAGTACTCTATGGGAAAATATAATAAAATCACAGTTCTTTGGTGTTTTCAATATGGGGTTCATTTTATTCATTCACTCTTGGTGAGTTACTCGGCACTGTTAAGAGATGTTAGTTTTGTTTAAATGATCAGACATAGCTTTATAAATCATGGGCACAAAACACCTACTAAAGTAGGCATTCAGTATTATAAAGCTAAAATAAACACTTTAAATTTTTTTTAAGTTTCTTTTTTTTTCCTTAGTGAGAGATTTTTGCTATAGGGAGCATGTGCTTGCCAGAGAGAGAGAGACAGAGAGAGAGAGAGACAGAAAATGAGAAATTACCCTCCAGGGGGATGGCCATGCCACATTCCCTTCTCCTCCATTCTTCTCTTGGGACCTTAGGCATGCACACACTTGCACCCGGCATGAAGTTTAAGCTGCTGGGTCCGGGACTCAAACCTTGGTGGAGAACATGGGAGTCTAGTCACATAAGCATTACATCATCAGCTGGTCCCCAATTATTTTGGTTTATTTCCTTATTTCTTCCACGAATGAGAGAGAGAGAGAGAGAGAGAGAGGCAGGCACCCTTAATAGGGTCTGGGTGCTGCAATCCACCCCCAGCCTGAGCCAGCCCCGTACCAGGGGCTCACATGTGCCTGGCATACTCCGGGAGGTTCCTGGGCGCAAACCCAGGGCCCTTCCCATATGGGTCACCCTCGTAGTGTCACGTTTTACCACTGTGCCATCATTCAGCCCTCATTGTAAACCCTTCTTAAATACATTTAAAAAAAACCATGTCTCTATCCAATGAAGCAGCTTGAACTCCATAAATAAACACCGCAGGTGACAGACTCCTGAGGGGGTTTCCCAAGTCTCTCGCCCCTTTCATCTCACTGATGCTTTTCAGCATGGAAAGGAAAAAGACTGGGCTTAATTTAAGCATGTGGACTTTCCACCTAGGAGGCGGTAGCGATGAAAATGCCACGGTTAGCAAAACACTTTCAAAATGTGGACAAAATAAGCAAAAACTGTAGAAGTTTCCTGTGGAATGGAGCTGTGTGAAATTCTAACAATTCTTCAGGGAACCAGCAGGTGGCATGGTGGTTCAGGCACTGGACTCCCACATGGCCAACCATGGCATGAGTCCCAGACTTGGCAGCTTGCTTTCTCACTTTCTCTCTCTCTCATGTGTGTGCAAATGTGTCCTGTAGCAAATTTTCAAAATAATAATAATGAGGTTAAATAAATAATTCTTAAAGACAAACCAAAAACTGCAGTTACAGAAGCTTGGGCTTGGGATGGCTCAGCTCAGAAGGGGCTGTTGCCCCCTGGGATTCGAGAGGGTGGAGGAAGACAGGGACCAGTGAGGAGGGAGAACCAGCAAAAGCGTATGCAGTCACGGCTGTTTCCGGGGCAGCATACTGTCACCACAGTCGCGGGCCCAGGAAGTACTGTTTGTTAATGAAGTGGAGCTTCCCATGGGCAAGACTCGAAGTAGCCGGACTTCAGGGCAGTGCAGCCAGCACTTAGTGGAAAGAGCAAAACAATCATAAAACTGATAAAACACAGACACGGGGATTAGGTAAAAGAAACAAACGTTAAAATATATCTTAAATCGGGGCCCACACTGATTCTGACAGGCCCGGGGCCTGTTATCCTTCACCCTGAAGTAATCTGCATCTCTCATTCAGAAAACAGGGACAGCAGCTCTCCCCTTATCCACAGCGGATGCCTGAAACCAGGGATGGTACCCAACCCCACACATGACTACGTTTTTTCCTGTGCATACATACCTGTGATACAGTTCAGTTTATGAGTTAAGCACAGTAAGACATGATTAAAAAAGAACCGAAAATAAAGTAGAGTAATTACAACCTGAAGTCCAAGTTATGTGAATGCGGTCTCTCTCGGTATCTTATTGTACTCCACTCACCTATTTCCTGGTTGACAGCAGGTAACTGAAAGTCCCGAAAGCTAAACCACAAGCGAGTGGGGAGTACGGTGTCTGCAAAGTGCCCCTCTGACCGTGTAGGGTGTGGGAGCTGACACAAGAATAAAATCTACTCCCTGTTCTTTAAGTGTCTCTGTACAAATACCAATGTAACCCTGCACAGTGATGCCATCTGAGCTGAGTTTCCTCATTGGAAAAGAAAGGAGAAGTTGGTATTCCAGGGAATTAGAAATGAGTGGTAGTGGGCCAGCAGCTGGCATAGTGGTTAAGGCACTAGATGCCCACAGGGCTGACTGGGCTGAGGCCTGGGCCCAGAGGCTTGAAACTCACACCAGGTGCAGGCACATTCCCAAAATCCCAGACGGGACTGTGGCATGGCCATCCTCCCTGGGGGCTGATCTCCCACTTTCTCTCTCTCTGTCTCTTTCTAGCAGGCACATGCACTTTATAGCAAAAATCTCTCTAGGGGGCCAGCAGGTGGTGTGGTGGTTAAGGGTATTGGATTCCCACATGGCTGTCCATGGGTCCTGTCCCAGACCTTGCAGCCTGCTTTCTCACCTTCTCTCACTCTCTCTCTCTCTATCTCTCTCTCTGTCTCTCCCTCTCTGGTCAAATTAAAATAAACAAATAAATAAATAAATGAATAAAATTAAATGGAAAAAAAAAGTTAAATCTCTCTAAAAAAAAAGAAAAGAAATGAGTGGTATTAAACAAAAGTACGTGTCATGCCTAGGAAAGAGGAATAACCAGATGTGCCCAGAACAGCTAGGCCCAAATTTTGTCACCCACGCCGCCTTCATAACTTCTGCTCTGGCCTGAACCACTTAACCACTTACTCCTGATTTTTCTTCAAATTGATGTTTTTTTTTTTTTTAAAGTTTCCTTTAGCTTCACAAAAATGACAAGATCCATGAAATTATAGATATGATGTGCCACTTACAGTTGCCCTAAAGCATGAAAACTAATTATATAGCTTTAAAGTAAAAAATGTCCCTGGGACCCTGCTTGGCACAGCGGTAAAGCGCTGCTCAGGAGACGCTGGCTCCTGTATGGCAACCACAGCGGGACTTCCAAACAGGCTGGCCCGAGACACCCCGGGCAAGTACACGAGTGCCCAGCCCCGACGGGCTAGAGGAGGAAGGGAATCACAGCACGACTGCACTCCATAGCGGGTGCTCATCCCTTCCAGCCTTCTCTCACATGCGAGCTTCCATGTATATACACTCTATCTGAGTAAAAGAAAAAAAAAAAATCGTTTAAAGGGTTCCTCCGCAAACCTAGAGCTAAGTCCTCTTATGTTCTGGCCATGTTTTCCCAAACTCTAGTAAAGCATGAGCTGGGAACTTTAAGGACTGAACTGTTTGAGGTGGGAGCTACTTTTATTAGGAAAATAAAAAAATAAATGCAAATATCAGAGGCAAAACCACTTTTAACTAGCCACTCTTCATTAGTGGGTCATGATGTTATTCTCTGGCTCCTGTGAGCCCTGTGCCTGCCCCACGGGCAGTGATTACACATCTCATGGTTATAGGGTCCCAGAGTTGTGTAGGACCCGCCACTGGGATGTAGCAACCCATTAGATTTCATTTCCAATTCTAAAAACAGGCACCCGCAGTATTTCAATAATTCATTATGCAACATCTTAAAAGTTTAAATTCATACTCCACTAAACACAAGAGCTTAAATGGGGTCCGACAGCAACACAGTTTCCTGGGGGATCAGCAAGGAGGCAGCGGGCAGAGAGGGGGCAGACAGAGCCACTTATTTCTTACCTCCGTGCACGAAGCCATGCAGGGTACAGTCTGAAGGCCCCACCAGGTGGATCAAGCTGGACTGGCTGTAGCTGACAGTGTTCGGCTCTGGAATTGCAAAGGAGAGAGATCAGTCGTTGGCGACATGGCTCCCAGGGCCGAGCGGTCTGGCAGGGCTGGGACTGCCTGACGTGTGCACAGTCACCGAAGGCGTCTGACTGCTGTCCACTTAGATGTGGTTTCTCTACGGCTACAGCTGGTGAGGGGGAAGGCTTTCACGGATTAATTAGCCATTCTGTGAGCGGGTCATGACGTTAGTCTCAGAAGACGTCAGCACCCCCACAAGGCCCTGCCTGTGGCAGCCACTAAATGTCTCGGAGTGGTAAGTCTTGGGGTTGCATGTGACCTGGGCCTGGATATAGTTATCCATTTGATTTTCTTTCCAACTTTATAAAAAGCAATAGCAGTGTTTCTGTAGTGTCCTTTGCCAGCCCTCGGTCCCTAAACCGGCCCTGGAAGCTACAGCACAGGTATGCGACTTTGCCCTCTGCCTAGCCGGCCCTCTCACTTCCCCCAGTTACTGCTTTGTCACTGCAAATCACCCCAGAGCAGCACAGCCCTCAGGGCAGCTTCATTCCCTCAATGCTGATACTGATACATAGAGATGAGGCTGCACTTAAGGGAGAAAAAAGATGAAATGAAGTCTTGTCCACAGAAGGCGGTCCTTATTCCTCAATGCTCCACTTTCTAAACAGGTGTAGGTAAAACTGATACAGTGTGCCCCAAGCAGACACCAGTGTCCCCGACCAGGTGTGCACCTGTGCTCCTAAGGCAGGTGTATGCACATCCACCTGCCCAAAGCCTTCTGGTCAGGGACCAGCCCTCATCTGCTTGCTGCCTGGCACAGCTGGTGGTCAAAAAGGGCAGCCCAACCCTGCTCCAGCAAGACCTTTGCTGCTGAACAAGCCAGCCTGCTGGGCCCTGAACGACCGAGACACATTCCAGATGAACGCAGGTATTGATATCATACTTCCCCCATCTGGCCTCAGACAAGCAACGGTTTTTGGTAGCAAAAACACTGGAGGAACAACGGGGTCCTGACTCAGAAGCTGATACCTGGGGTCTCCTAAGTGCCAACTGTCACCTCGGAGACTTCGAGGTTATGAGTAACGTGGGTCCGTCCAAAATGTATATGTTGAGGTCCTAAATCCTAGTCCCTCAGAGGTTGCTTGTATGTGGAGACAGGTCTTTGAAGAGGTAATTAAGTTAAAACAAGGTCGTTAGATTGAAGCCATCATCCAAAACGGCTGGTGTCATGAGATTAGGTCACACGGAAGGATAACGTGTGAAGGACCAGGAGGACGAACAGCTATCAGCCACAGGGGAGAGGCCTCAGATGGAACCTGCCTATCAACACCCTAATCTCATACTTCCAGCCCCCAGAACAGGGAGACAATAAACCCCTGCTGTAAAGTCCCCCAGTCTACGGCTCCTGGCTGCTGCAGCCCAGGCAAACCAACGTTGCTACATTCCCTGCGGGATTTCGAACTCTACTGGTTGTCTGATGTTATCATAAAACAAAAAATAAATCACAATTCAGGTGAGCTGGGGCCTTAGATATTCACGTCCACACCTGGAGACCTTTGCTTTCAAGGCCGTCAAGGTGGAGTGAGCTGAGTCCCATATGCAGGGCACATGTGTTGGGGGGCAGGGCCCAGTCACCAAGACACTCACAGCCAGGAAGGGGCTTGGGCTGCATCAGGGAGCCAGGCGGCAGCTCCGACTCTGCAGCAGGGGGATCTAGTTCTTATCTCTCAGTCAGTCCCTATTCACCATGGGTTTCTTTCTTTCTTTCTTTTTGAAGAGTTTTTTTTGCTATAGGGCGCGTGTGCTCGCCAGACAGACAGAGAGAGACAGAGAGACAGAAAGCGAGAAATCACCCCCCAGGGGGCATGGCCACACTGCAATCCCTTCTCCTCCCTTCTCCTCTCGGGATCTTGGGCACGCACGCACACGTGCCCAGCATGAGTTTAAGCCACTGGGTCTGGGACTCGAACCGCAGTCGACTACATGGGAGTCCAGCGACATAGCCATTACACTAACTGCTGGTCCCCTTCACCAGGGGTTTCTGAGGACTGGTCCACTCCCCTGCCCTTGTCCTGGTCACCATGTTTGACTGTCAGCTGTCATGTACCCCCCCATCCCTGCCTTGGGCTCTGCTGGGGTGAAGCCAAGTGTCAGGGCATGTAGGAAGAGGTGCCCTGTTATGGAGTCAGGAGAAGAAAGGAGGAGTCCTTCCTCAGAAGCCACAATCTGGGCACGTGCTCACCCAGCCCACCCTCCTGGATCGATGAGGGGTCTTCACGTCTAGGCACTTCCTGCTAGAGAAGCTGGTGCCCAAGGATAGGATGCTCTCCTCAGCCAACAGCCCCCAGCGAGGGTGTTCCAACACGGACTCCTGGAAGGGGCCCATGGGTGTCCCCTGACGGCTGCTGGATCTGTGGCTCTGACCTGTGTCTTTGACCCACGGGAGGAGACGCTTATCCTCCCAGCCGCCACTTCAGTGCAGACCTTCCAGGACCTGGGGGATCCAGAACAGCCTGGTGTCTCCAGCAACATTTAGGGCACCCTGAAGTGCTCTAAAAGATACCAGGGGGGGTGCTGAGAGGACAGGCCTCTGTCTCTCCAGGCTTCTCCCTGCTTCTGTCCCACTTCTCGTCCTCACTTGCCCCAGAAGTGGGAAAAAGGAAAGGAGAAGCCCACATCCTTGTCATTGTAAGGAAGGTGCGGGTAACAGTCACTACCCAGCTAGGGCCCAGACACCAGGAGCCTGCCTGGGGAGATGTGGGGAGGGCACAGCCACAAAGTCATGAAGGACGCTGACGATGGCCCCCTCTGTTCATGACCATCGGGGAATGCTCCATCGGCACTGCCCAACCCCACAGCCCTGCACTCAGAGAATGTCTCCCTTTGGAGGTCTCTCTGTAAAGCAGGCAGGCCCCCTAGCCAAATAAAGGCTACTCTGCGCTGCCTTTATTTGCTTAGTGTCTGACTCAGAAAAGACATGAAAATAACTATTTTTGAGCATGAATGGAAACTAAACCCCTCAAGTTTAGATCCATCTCAGTAACTGCTTTGATCAGCTATGAGACTTTCATGTGGACAATGACAAAATAATTTTATTATTATTATTTCAAACTTAATTTAAAATTGTATTAAAAGATCTTTGTCAGTTGGGGCCAGCAGGTGGAATAATAGTTAAGGTACTGGATTCCCACATGGGTGAGACCTGTGTTCAAATCCTGAACCCAGTGGCTTGAAATTCATGATGGGTGCAGGTGCACACGTGCCCAAAATCCCAAAAGGAAAATGGAGAAGGGACTGGGGCATGGCCATCCTCCCCCTACCCTGGGGTAATTCCTGCCCCCCCCCGGGGGGTGATTTCTCACTTTCTCTCTCTGCATCTCTCTCTGTCTCCAGTGAGCACACATGCCCTATAGCAAAAATCTCGAAAAACAAAAACAAAAAAGCCTTTGTCAGGTCAAATGCCTGCTCATTCAAATGACAAGCAATTTGAAATAACTCTAATGCCTCTGTCAGAGAGATGCCCTCACTGCTCTGTAGTAATGTTTAAAAATATTAGTTAAACCATGTGCAATAATTCAACATTCTTGTCACTTACGTTGAAGAACGTTTATTAAGCAGACACAACAAATTTCTCATGGGGAAGGAAATACGCCCCTACACCTGCACTCCAAGCCCTCCTTCCTTCGACCATAAGCTGGAACTGCACCAGGGCTCTGCAGGGCAGGCACCTCCTAAGAAGGGAGCACTGCCCTTGCTCATTCTCAGTGGCTTCTCCTGTGTTCTGGCATGTTCTGCATCTCGGGTGAACCACGGGAACATGAGGAAAGGCTACGCTAACACAGGGTTAAGACCAAGGGACTTGGTCTAGTAGCTGTTGGTGTCGTCTTAACAAATGGACCACTTGGTAGCAGGGGTGGAGTGCTACCCAAATGCAAACCTTCTTCTGGGCCCAAAAGGGATGCTATTTACCATCATCCTAGCTTAAAGGGTGGGCCGGGGCCGGCAACGTGGCCTGGTAGTTAACGAAGCCAGATATTAGATGGCTGACCCTAAGGTTGGAATCCTGGCCTAAGTAGATTGAAAGAGATCCTGGGTGTGTGTGTGTGTGTGTGCCCCAAATCCTAACAGGATGGAGAAATGGAGGAGAAGGGATTGTAGCATGACCACACTCCACTGAGGGGTGCTTTCTCTGTCTTCCTCTGTCAAATTAAAAAAAAAAAAAAAAGGGACCAGCAGAGGGCATAATGGCTATGTCACTGGACTCCCATGTAGTTGACCACAGTTCAAGTCCCAGACCTGGTGGCTTAAACTCATGCCTGGCACATGTGCGTGCATGCCCAAGATCCCAAGAGGAGAAGGAAGGAGAAGGGATTGCGGCATGGCCATCCCCTCTGGGGGGTGATTTCTCGCTTTCTGTCTCTGTCTTTCTGGTGAGCGTATGCGCCCTATAGCAAAAACCTCTTCCCCCCGAAAAAAAAAGAAAGAAAAAAAAAGACAGACTTATATCAAAAGTCAAGTTAAGGTATGGTATTTCCACCCACAAATGTTTGTTCTTTAAAGAATTATTTACTTAATTTTATTTATTATTACTATTTTTTAATTTGCTACATGTACTCACCAGAGAGAGACAAAGAGAGAAGGAAAGTGAGAAAGCAAGCGGCCAGGACTGGGAATCAAACCACAGTTGGCATGTAAGAGTCTAGTGCCTTAACTACCACACCACCTGTTGGACCCACTAATGAATGTTGTGAGAGGCAGCAAGGTGGGGTGAGAAAGTAACAAAATATCCCAGGCTTGAGAATCATGCCTGGAAAGCAGGCTGCGTGTGGCGACTGTCACATGGAACTGACTGGAAGCAAACATATCAGAGGCCGGCCAGCCTTGGTGGCACAGACCTCAGCACCCTGAACAGCAGTGCTGGAAGCTACAGGGCTGAGCGCAGGCTGGACCCTTGGCCCCGCAGACCTGAAACATGCTGGGCATGTGCCCAAGATCCTAACATGCTGGAGGGCTTGGGGAAG